AGGTGAGATAGGTTAAGCAGGTTAAGTTAGGAAAGGTAGGTAAGGTAAGGTAACATAGGTAAAGTTAGGTTATGCAGGTTAAGTTAGGTAAGATAGGTAAAGTCAGGTAAGATAGGTAAGGTAAGGTAACATAGGTAAAGTTAGGTTAGGTTAGGTAAGATAGGTAAGGTAACATAGGTAAAGTTAGGTTATGCAGGTTAAGTTAGGTAAGATAGGTAAAGTCAGGTAAGATAGGTAAGGTATGGTAAGGTAATATAGGTAAAGTTAGGTAAGATAGGTAAAGTTAGGTAAGATAGGTGAGATAGGTTAAGCAGGTTAAGTTAGGAAAGGTAGGTAAGGTAAGGTAACATAGGTAAAGTTAGGTTATGCAGGTTAAGTTAGGTAAGATAGGTAAAGTCAGGTAAGATAGGTAAGGTAAGGTAACATAGGTAAAGTCAGGTAAGATAGGTAAGGTATGGTAAGGTAATATAGGTAAAGTTAGGTAAGATAGGTTAAGCAGGTTAAGTTATGAAAGGTATGTAAAGTTAGGTAAGATAGGGAAGGTAAGGTAAGGTATGTTAGGATAGGTAAAGTTAGGTTTAGGAACGTTACGTTAACTAAGTAACATTGGGTGGAGAGGATAGGTTACGTAGGTTTGAACAGTGTAGTTCAGAGAACAGTTTAAAAGGTAAAATGTCTAAGAAAATATATTTAACAGAAGTGTAAGTTTGATATGAAAAGCTGAACTAGTTACATTTGGGGAGAAATTTTATGCCTGAAGATGTCTTAGAGAACAACAATGTTGTCTTAAAGTATAACTTGATGGAAGAAGGAGAGTTTCTTTGATGAACAAAGGTGACTTAGAGATCAACATTGATGAACGAAGATGTCTTAGAAAGCTTCTCTGATGAACGAAAGGTTACTTAGAGAATAACTTTTGTTAGCTCTTTGAATAACTTTGATGACTTTGAGAATAACTTTGATAGCTCTGGGAATAACTTTGATGACTTTGAGAATAACTTTGATAGCTCTGGGAATAACTTTTATGATTTTGAGAACATCTTTGATGTCTTGGAGAACAACATTGATGTTTAGAGAACAACTTTGATGGCCAAGATTAACTTTAGATGTCTCTGAGAAAAACTTTTATAACATAGAAATTAACTTTAGATGTCTCTGAAAATATCTTTGATGACTTCGAGAATAACATTTGATGACTCTGAGAATAACTTTTATGTCTTACATAATAACTTTAGATGACTCTGAAATAACTTTGATGAAAAAAGATGTCTTAGATTAACTTTTGATGACTTTGAAAACGAGTTTGATGAACAAAGATGTTTTGGAAAGTTTCTCTGACGAACGAAGGTAACTTAGAGATTAACTTTATGATTTAGAGAACATCTTTGATGTCTTAGAGAACAAGATTGATGTCTTAGAGAACAACTTGGATGAACAAAGATGTCTTAGAAAGCTTCTCTGATGAACGAAAAGATACTTAGAGAATAACTTTGACGACTGTATTTAACTTTTTGATGGCTCTGAGGACAGTTTTTGTTGAACGAGGATGTCTCGGAAGGCTTCTTTGAATAACAAAGGTGACTCTGAGAATAACTTTGATGACTCTGAGAAAGACTTTGTTGTCTTAAAGAATAACTTTAGATGTCTCTGAGAATAACTTTTAAGAACGAAGATGTCTGAGATTAACTTTGACGACTCTGTGAATAACTTTTGTGGACATGAGAATATCTTTGGATAACTCTGAGATTAACTTTGATGTCTTTGAAACAACTTTGATGAACGAGAGTGAGTTAGAGATTACCTTTGTTAACTCTGAGATCAACTTTGATGAACAAAAGTGAGTTAGAGATTACATTTTGATAGCTCCGAGAATAACTTTTATGCCTCTGAGATTAACTTTAATGAACGAAGATGTCTTAGAAAGTTTCTCTGATGAACGAAAGGCTACTTAGAGAATAGCATTTTGATGACTTTTTGATGACTCTGAGAATAACTTTGAGAATAACTTTGAGGATGCGAGTAAATTTTGAGTGTTTGAGAGTGTCTTTTGATATCTCGAAGAGTGCCCTTGAAGTCTTAAAGGATGTCTTTGATGTCTCGAAGGATGTCTTAGAGTGTAACTTTGGTATCTTTGAGTAAGTCCTTGATGTATTGAAGAGTGTCTTTGATTTCTCGAAGAGTAACTTTGGTGTCACGGAGAGCACCTTTGACTATTTTTTCGTACTTGACGACATATAATTTTTTTTACGAAAGTGCTGAAAAAGTTACATTTGACTATTTTTCTTACTTAGCGACATATAATTTTAGTTACGAAAGTGTTGAAAAAGTTACATTTGACTATTTTTAGTTGAGGAAAAAGACAAAATATGACGACAATGACTATTTTAGTGCTCCACAAAGTATAATGCCAGTTAAGAACGACGATGATAGATATCTTTGACTATATTTTCTTACTTGACTATGGATAAAGTTAGTTATGAACAGTGCTGAAAAGATTCCTTTGACAATTTTTAGCTAAGCGAAAGGCTGTTTTAGTTAAGAACGGTGTTGAATGAGGTTAATCCTGACTATTTTCAGATGAGAGAAGTGATATTTCAGTTAAGAAATGACAAGGAAACATGATGAAGTAACTATTTTTAGTTGACCGATGAATACTTTTAGTTGAGCAAAAGCCAAAACATGATGAACATGACTTTTCTGATGATTGGCAGATAATTTTAGTTATGAAATGACAATGAAACATGATGAACACGGTTATTTTCTGATGAATGGGGAATATGTTTAGTAAAGAAATGATGAAAGTTATTATTTTTAGTTGATTGACGATGGATAAAAGCTAGTTATGAAAAGTTTTGGAAAGTTTCCTTTGACAATTTTTTCTTGATGAAACATAGCGCCTGTTAAGAAAGTGCTGAAAAAAGTTTCCTTTGACAATTTTAGCTAAGAGAAAGGTTGTTTTAGTTAAGAACAGTGTTGAACGAGGCTATTTCTGACTATTTTTAGTTGACTGGATAATAAGTTTAGTTGAGAAATGACGAAAGTGACTATGTTTTAGTTGATTGGTGAAAGATTTTTTAGTTAAGGAACGTTAGATAACATGTAAGGGGAAAAACCCAGAGAACATATGGGGAACATGGCAAAGAACATATGTAAGAAAAGTTGATGAATACAGTGAACATGCAGGGAATATGAACTTGTAGAGGAACATGAATATTGACAAAGAACATAGGGAATACAAAGAATGAACACTGAACGTGTGAAGAACAAGCTAGAACATTGAGAACATGAATATTGAGTATAAAAGTTATAAAGAGAACATGTGATGAACATGAAAACATAGAAAATATGACTAGAATTTGTAGAGAAAGTAATGAGACTAAGAGAAAGATTATAGAAAAAAATGGAGATACTTGTGAAAATATGAACTGAATGGGACTGTGAACATTTGTAGAACATGGAATGAACACAGAAAACACGGACAAAAAGTGAAGAACACAGCTGAATATAGAGAAAATATGCAAATACAGGGGGACAAGAGCTGGAGCTCGGTAACTGACTTGATCTTATTTACTATGTCTGAAAATGTAGTTGAGTGTTTAAATCTCAGGGGGATTTGGACTGATAGTAATGAATTTACATGAGTGAACTTGGACAGAGGACAAGAGCTAGAGTTTTATATTTGTTTTACTTCATATTTACTATGTCTGAAATACAGAGGGTAAAAATTTCGGGGAAATTGATGGTTTATTTACAAAGACTTGAGGGTGGAAGAGGGTGGGGGACAAGAGCTGGAGCTCAGTAACTGACTTGATCTTATTTACTACGTCTGAAATATGACTGTTTAAAATTTCAGGGGGATTGGACTGCTAGTAGCGAAAATGTGGTCTCTGTCAAATTTGGGTCTTTAATTGGACTCTGATTAATTTCGATCATGAACTGGACTCTGAATATTTTGGCACAAAGTAGACTCTGGCGAATTTTCGGTATAAACTGGACTCTGATGAATTTCGATCAAGAACTGGACTCTGTCAAATTTTCACAGATTACAGGACACTGATGAAATTTGCTCTCAAAGTAGACTCTGGCGAATTTCTGTTGATAATTGGACTCTGATGAAATATGAGCTTAAAACTGTCTCTGACTAATTTTGCTCTCAAAGTAGACTCTGTTCATTTTTAGGTATAAATTGGACTCTGATGAAATATGAGCTAAATACTGTCTCTGACTAATTTTGCTCTCAAAGTAGACTCTGGTGAATTTCTGTTGATAATTGGACTCTGATGAAATATGAGCTAAATACTGTCTCTGACTAATTTTGCTCTCAAAGTAGACTGATGAATTTCTGTTGATAATTGGACTCTGATGAAATATGAGCTAAATACAGTCTCTGACTAATTTTGCTCTCAAAGTAGACTGGCGAATTTGAGCATAAACTGGACTCTGCCGAAAATTGGGTATAAAATGGACTCTGACAAGTTTTCACAGATTACAGATGAAATAGCCGTAAATGGATATAAAACTAAATGTTATGGATAAGTTGTCTGTTTTCCTTAACAAAACATCTAAGACAATATTCTCTGAAAATGGTCCTTTTACAAATGTGTGATTGAAAACGGGCAAAGGTTGTCCATAGAGTTTACCTGGAAATGCTGTGACACAAACACGATTTTTTCTAAAACTTTTCTTTAAGATTTTCCTACTTATTTTCATCATAAGAATGATTAACAAACTTCTAAGATCTCGGAAATTATTTTTCTCATAAGAATTCCTTACTTCCAAATCTGTGACTCCCCAAATTTGCCTGAAAACCCCTAAGAGCTACAGACGATATTTTCTGAAAAAAAATATCGTCTGTGGCTCTTACAGTCCACAGGGGTCCTCTCCCCAAAAAAAAATATCGTCTGTGGCTCTTACTCCCTACTACTTACGGGAGGGGGAGAGTGTGAGAAGAGAGTGTGCGAGGGGAGAGTGTGAGGAGTGTGAGGGGAGAGTGACTATACCCTCTGGTGTCTGACGTGAGCCACAGAGTAGCGGGCCTCGGATGAGTACACTTCACCTCCCGCTGTCAGCAGCTGGTCCTCGTCCCTCTTCATCCACGTCACCTGTTGGCGAGAGGAGAGTTAGCCCGAGAGAGAGAGAGAGAGAGAGAGAGAGAGAGAGAGAGAGAGAGAGAGAGAGAGAGAGAGAGAGAGAGAGAGAGAGAGAGAGAGACAGAGAGAGAGAGAGAGAGAGAGAGAGAGAGAGAGACAGAGAGAGACAGAGAGACAGAGACAGACAGAGAGAGAGAGAGAGAGACAGACAGAGAGAGAGGTCGTATACATACAATAAGAGTAATAATATATCTGTTAAAATTACAATAATATTAAACTAGACAATTTAACCCCATCAACCTCTTCCAAAAAAGTAACACAACATAACACAAGGGATTTAAAAAAGGTATTTCGTATTATTCTACATGTTATAGGAGATGGAGGTGGTGCTCGGGCCTCCATGCTTACCTGCTGCTCCAGTTATATTGTGTGTGTACTCATCTAGTTGTGCTTGCGGGGGTTGAGCTCCGGCTCTTTGGTTCCGCCTCTCGACTCTCAATCAACTAGTGTACAATTGAGTTGAGAATGGTCCAGGAAGGACCGAAACGTCGTCGTCCCTTCACTTTCTAGTGTGTGGTTTCGTCAACATATTTCAGCCACGTTGTTGGGACTCTTCGTTTGCAACTAGAGTACAAATTCCTGAGCCTAATGGGCTCTATCATATCTACATTTGAAACTGTGTATGGAGTCAGCCTCCACCACATCACTGCCTAATGCATTACATCCGTTAACTACTCTGACACTGAAACAGTTCTTTCTGACGTGTCTGTGGCTCATTTGGGTACTCAGTCTCCACCTGTGTCCCCTTGTTCATGTACCACCCGTGTGTGTGTGTGTGTGTGTGTGTGTGTGTGTGTGTGTGTGTGTGTGTGTGTGTGTGTGTGTGTGTGTACTCACCTATATGTGCTTGCAGGATCGAGCATTGACTCTTGGATCCCGCCTGTGTGTGTGTGTGTGTGTGTGTGTGTGTGTGTGTGTGTGTGCGCCAGAAGTGTTGTCTTACCTAATTGTGTTGGTGCAAGTTGAGCTTCAGCTCTTTGGTCCTACCTTTCAATTTTCAATAAAATGCTATACAGGTTTCCATACTTGTTGTGCTGTGTGTATGTGTGAGTGTGTACCCATAACGAGTATATGTGTGTATGAAATTGAAATTGAAATAAGTTTATTGAGGTAAAATACACACAAAGGGATGAGGTAGCTGAAGCTATTCTCACCCCGTTCAGTACATCGTGTTAATATATACATAGACACACATCACAAGCAATAAACATATTACCGAATATTCTGAGAGATAAACATATACATTTCCTCCTTCACAAGTAGTATGGTATCAGACGTACACACAAATACTTTCATTACCTAGGTATACTGTATAGACAATTTACAAGAAACGTGTGTTTGGGTATAGATAATACAGTAAAGGTAGACACTACAAGTCCCATTACGTCCCACCGTTTTCCCCAACCTGTGTCGAAGCCCAGTACTGTTGCTGGGGAGCACGCACAGCGCAAAATATTAAATAACCCAATGTCTACGTAACTTGAAATTTCGACGCAATTTACAGGACTACACTTCATTTACACTTAGAAATATTCAAAGAGTTTAGTATTTGACCACCAAGCGGGACATGAAGGCTTCCAGTACAAAGCATCTGGAGTCATTGCTCAAGTCACAGTCGTAAGGGAGCCGGTCGGCCGAGCGGACAGCACGCTGGACTTGTGATCCTGTGGTCCTGGGTTCGATCCCAGGCGCCGGCAAGAAACAATGGGCAAAGTTTCTTTCACCCTATGCCCCTGTTACCTAGCAGTGAAATAGGTACCTGGGTGTTAGTCAGCTGTCACGGGCTGCTGCTTCCTGGGAGTGGAGGCCTGGTCGAGGACCGGGCCCCGGGGACACTATAAAAACCCCAAAATCATCTCAAGATAAGATAATAGATGGCGCCACCGGCTCTCTCTCTCTCCAGGTAGTGACTACGATTCCTCATGACTTCTGCTGTTGACTTGTTAACGACTCTAATTGTCTTCCACCCCCCTCCTCCCCACCTTCCCCCATTCATGCCTTCAATGACATTGTCGGGGTCTTTTCAGCAGCTGGTCTTAGTCGTCGGCAGCCCTCTGTAGCCCCTCCAGCCTCAATAAGACTTCATCCAAACGAGTTTTGGGACTCGAATGATTTCCCCGCTTTTGAAAGCGCACTTCTGGGTTTTCTCCTCTATTCCATCACTTATTGGAATATCCTCCAGGCTGTCAACTTTTTTTTTTTTTGTCTTATTTTTACACACTGCTTTTTTCTCAGGGACGGAATCAAATGCTGGCATCTATATCGATGAGCCAGAGTCTTCGCGTTGGAGCATATTCTTCAGACTGATGATACAGCGGTTTGTTTTTCCTATTCAAGTCTCCACTAAAAAGCCTCTTTTTTGTCCTTAGTCTCCCCTAAAAAGCCTCTTTTTTGTCCTTAGTCTCCCCTAAAAAGCCTCTTTTTTTGTCTTTAGTCTCCCCTAAAACTCCCAATATTATTGCACCTTAAATTAGAGTCCTTAAAATAGTCTCTTCTCTGTGTTCAATCCATAACTATAATACATATTAAACTAGATTCAAAACATGGTTTCAGGTGGGTTAAATTAGCTGTGGTACTGGAAGCAGTTGGCAGCTGCTCTCCATGTTTCCTCCCCTTCGTTACAGCGGGATACAGTAAGGAACAATACAGTAAGGAATCAACAATGTTGTTCTGGGGAACATGAAGTTGTGTCCAGCAGGGAGACCCACTTGCCCCTTTCCTTGTCTGCACGGCAGCTACAGGGGTCACAAGCAGGTTGATCAGCGAACTCAACATCTGGTTCCTGGACGACGACACCCTGGCAGGGACACAGGCGTCCCTGCCAGGGGATCTACAGCTAGTGAAATCAAAGGGAGAGGAGTTAGGACTCCTCCTAACTCCGCTTCCATCCTTAGATTAGAAATCTTCCTTAGATTTCGTTAGTGCGAAATCATGTCATCTAGCCAGCCTATGGGGTGTGAACCGCCTTACCAGGAGCCCCAGTGATCGCTCCCTAGCGACAGTGTGCTGCTGGGGGCGACAGTGTGCTGCTGGGGGCGACAGTGTGCTGCTGGGGGCACCATTGGGCTCGAATGTTCTAGATGTAATTCTCGAAGAAAAACTGAAAGACCTGAAGAGGATCTATCTTGAGGTTATCTTGAGATGATTTCGGGGCTTTAGTGTCCCCGCGGCCCGGTCCTCGACCAGGCCTCCACCCCCAGGAAGCAGCTCGTGACAGCTGACTAACACCCAGGTACCTATTTTACTGCTAGGTAACTGGGGCATAGGATGAAAGAAACTTTGCCCATTGTTTCTCGCCGGCGCCTGGGATCGACCCCAGGACCACAGGATCACAAGTCCAGCGTGCTGTCCGCTCGGCCGACCGGCCCCCTCAGGATAGAAGACACAATAGGATGTTTCGGAAGTACACAATGCTTTGTACCTCCCTACAAGGTGGCTGGCTTTGTCCAGAGTTACCTATTTCTTAACGTGGGCTCCCTCATGCCATAGCCTGAAATTAACAATGACAAAGTTCCTAAAGCTATAGCCTGGGGCGTGTTTAACCTGTCCCTGAAAAGAATGAGACGAAGGAACGCTCAAAGTCAGACTCAGTGGTATAGGTATACACAAGGGTGTATTCCTGATCAACCAGGCTGTCACACATACGTCAGGCTGCGAGCAGCCGCGTCCAACAGCCTGGTTGATCAGTCCAGCAAGCAGGAGGCCTGGTCGACGACCGGGCCGCGGGGACGCTAAGCCCCGGAAGCACCTCAAGGTAACCTCAAGGTAAGGGAACACAGGCAGCACTGCCTGCATTCGTATCCTCCAACAGGATACGAATACGATTGCGAATGAATTAGTGAGAGAGATCCTACCAGCGCACTAAGGAGAGTTCCCTGGGAGTTATGATCTTCGCTGAAGGAGCCAGCCTGTGGAATAGTCTTGCAGGGTCTTCCCCGCCAATATCTTCAGACCAACAGACCAACTAGGGTAGCCCCATAGGCGAGAACATTGCCTTAACAATGAGAAGTTTGGCTACAGCCGAGTGTCTTAAGGAACCTCAAATATGCAGACCTGACTGTAGTCACAGGCGCCCAGATGGAGTCACCCTACAGCCATGGAGGGAAGATGGCCAGGAGAAGGGAGCCGGTCGGCCGAGCGGACAGCACGCTGTACTTGTGATCCTGTGGTCCTGGGTTCGATCCCAGGCGCCGGCGAGAAACAATGGGCAGAGTTTCTTTCACCCTATGCCCCTGTTACCTAGCAGTAAAATAGGTACCTGGGTGTTAGTCAGCTGTCACGGGCTGCTTCCTGGGGGTGGAGGCCTGGTCGAGGACCGGGCCGCGGGGACACTAAAGCCCCGAAATTATCTCAAGATAACCTCAAGGGGTCAGATTCTCGAAGCAGTTACGCAAGTTACTTACGAACGTGTACATCTTTCCTCAATCTTTGACGGCTTTGGTTACATTTAGTAAACAGTTTACAAGCATGAAAACTTCCCATTCAACTGTTGTTATTGTTATAAACAGCTTCCTAGTGCTTTGGTGCTCATTAACTGTTTAATAATTGTAAACAAAGCCGCCAAAGATAGAGAAAAGATGTACAGGTTCGTAAGTGTTTGCGTAACTGCTTCGTGAATCTGGCCCCAAGTTGTGTGGGACTACACGTGAGCGTCTATATTGGCTGAGACCTATCTACGCACTGTCAATCTGGGTCTTCCTGTCACATTCAGGGGGTCCCAGGTCCCAGACCGTTAGGGACATAGACATTACTACAGATTCGTGCCAATAGGCTCTGAGACCCAAGGGAACCGAAGTAAATGAGCACTTAAGTTTCTCAAAAGAGCTGTGAGAGAGATAAGCGAACATGAAACCCACAAAGTGCCAATTTCAGCGCCTCAGTGAATAGACACTGACAAAATAGACATGCCTCCCAAGTGTACATATACATGCCTTTATACTATGCATATACAT